TCCTTCCCCAAGGTTGCAATTCCATTTGCTCTAAAAGGTCCTAGTAACTGGTGTGTGTTTTTTAAGTTTCTAAGATGATGATAACTTACTTGCAGCTACAGTTCAGAGTGACTGAGCTACAGCCACAGAGTCATTTCATCCTGTGTAATGACTGCAGCCATCCCCGCCAATGAGGAGCATTGGTGATTAAATCCTCCTGAACCCCATAGGCAATGGATCCTTTGCAGAGGTGAGGTTGGCCTGGCATATTTTGACAGGCATAGATGTGGCTGTGAAAATTATGAATTTTCAAGGCTCCTTTGAAGATTTAAGAGAACTTCATTGTCTTAAAGGCTTGAATCACTTAAACATCACAGTTATTTGAGGTGTTTTCCACCCAGGAAAAATGGTATCTCTTCATGGAGAGGTCACTTTTTTGATTATGTGGGGGAATGTGGATGCATGACTGAGGAGGAAGCCTGAACCATGTTTCAGCAAGTCTATCAGCAGTTCAGTACTGCCACCAGAGGGACATCATACATAGGGATCTGACGCCATAGAGCATACTCAGAGAGAGTAACATGGCATTCAAAGTATCATTTGGCGTTAGTATGGAATTTACAGATTAGCAACTGAGCACCTTCTGTGGATCCATTGCCTATATGGTCCCAGAAATATTGATGTTCTAACCCTATTATGGCCTGAAGATTGACATATGGAGTCTAGAGTAGTTCTCTATGGAGAGACAGGGAGTTATTTTGAGGCTGATCTTTGGGCAAGAGAAGAAATGGATACTGAGCAGGCACTTCTTTGAACTATCTTTTATGTCTCTAGAATGTCAACAAATTTTTAAAAAATTAATTACTATTTATTCTGGCTAAAGATCAACCCTGGAAGATATAATAAAGTACCCATGGGTCAACATGGACCAGGAGGAAGAACTGAGGCCATACATTGAGCCACCCTGGGGTGACTTGGATCCTCAGGTACCAGAAATAATGAAGAACCAGCATGAGATCCAGGAGTCAATAACATAAAGAAAGTATAATAATATCATGAAGATTTGCTAATTCTAGATAGCATGAAAACCAAGAGGAAGGAAAGTAGTATCAGGGTAATACCCTACCATGCCCTTGACTGCACCTACAATGTTGCCTCAAGCCAAGAGATTCCACCAAAAAATAAGAATTCTGAATACCCTGCCAATCACCCAGCCAGCCTAGAAGCAAGGATGTCCACTTCCATAGTCAGTCTAGATTCAAAGATTGCTACCCTCATCCCAGGCCTCCAACATGGCCCTTGGGCTCCCCCTCTACCCTTAGCAGCAGCAGCAGCAGCAATAGAACCACAGAGGAAGCCACCCATGAAAATTGCCTTCAAGCTGGGACCCCAGTCTCTTCCTCTGGCCATACCCAGGGTTGCCAGGGGGTGGCTAAGAGAGTCTTCAGGTTTTTCTTATGATTCTTATGCTCCCAGCTGTCCAGAAATAAAATGCATCTCAAAAAGACAAAAAATCAAGCCAATAAATTGGTGAAAACACATTTTTAAGAATATACACAGTAAAGAAGAAGAAGAAGAAGAAGAAGAAGAAGAAGAAGAAGAAGAAGAAGAAGAAGAAGAAGAAGGAGAAGAAGAAGAAGAAGAAGAGGAAGAGGAAGAGGAAGAGGAAGAGGAAGAAGAAGAAGAAAAAGAAGAAGAAGAAGGGATTCCTTTATTTCTTCCTTTTGTACACTATCAAGTGGTTAAAAAAAATGTGATGCACTACATCTACAAGGTCAAAATTGGGTATAGATGGGATCTATTCCTTCATAGAGCAAACAAATTAATTATATATGAGGCAGTATTGTAGAGAGATTAAAAGTACTGGCTTTGGAAAGAGAAAAAGGAGGGGAAAATCAAAGACACTGGCTAAGAAAAGTAAAGGTATCACAAAATACATTCATGGTGTATTGATCTAAGACTGGTGGATAATAAGTTAAAGGAAGGGAACATTATTGACCAAAGTGAGAGAAAACGTAGAGAAAAGAAGTGAACATGGACTTCAGAATTAAACGTGTTTTTGAATCACATCTCTGCCCTTTAGTAGCTTTGTTACTAGTTAGTGTCAGCAAATGAATTCTCAGCATTGGTTTCTTTATTTTTTATCCATGTTTCAGAGTGATATAAACCTCATAGGATTATTGTTATTGGAATGTCAACCATATAGCCAGATACGGACAGAAAGAAAGAAAGATGAATGTGAAGACCTCTAGGAAAATTGATATGGAGATGATAAAATAGAAAATAAGGTAGATGGAGAAATTAATTTTCAGAATTATATGGCAAAGGGAAGAAAATGGGGCTATCCATCCTGAGGCTTCCCTGCTCTGTAAAAAAGAGGTGAAGTTTTCCATTCAAAGTGAGGTAGAGGAAGTGAGGTCAGATAGTTTTTAAAAATGATTAAAAAGAAGTGATATGGAGATGGGTGGCATAGGAGGCAACATGACATGAAGAGGCTTCTTTAGAAATCTAGAGGGCTTAGCTGATTATAGCAGGACTGTAGAGTCCATTGTGTAGAATTTGTTCTCTCCTTGTTCCACAAACAATCTCTGGACCACGGAAATAGAAAACTGGATTTTTCCCAGCTTGGAAGAAAGAGGAAAGACTAAAGGGCAGGACATTAAGAGAGTACAGTCACATCAAAGGGCTAATTATAAATGTCAGACCTTGGGACTCAGGCTGGGAAGAGACTACACTGCGGCAAAAGGAGATATTCAAGTCTAGAAGAAAGAAATGTTCCCGATAATGGCAAATAATTTTCAGGCTTGCCAAAGATGAGAGGTAGTGGAGGGAAACAAGTGGAGATTTGAGGAGGCTTGGGTATTGCAAAGATGATTGGTTATGGGACCAGAGTGTCCCAGGCTGGTATCAGAAATCATGTCCTAGAAGGGTACAACAAGTAAACCTTCCGAAAAGCAAGAGTGACTTCAGCAGGGAGAAGAGATGGCGAAGATTGGAACTAATGTTGAATTCAGCAAGGAAGTTCATCACATCATCTGGAATGTGGTAGGTAATCTGATTTGCAAATGTCATCAGATAGTATGCAAGTTCTTCTTGTTCTTACGATCCACCACGAGAAACTGATTCTGAACACAATGGGTACAAAGCCACCTGTCGCTACTTGAGCCAAATTTAGCTAAGGCAGGGTTGAGTCATGTCTGAGTGTTTATTCCAATGACGCTGGCAGTATGGGGAGAGCAGTTGGTCACCCTGGAATTCTGCTCTCAGCAAAGGAGGTGGGTAGGGCTTGTTGTCCGGCCTTCAGGAGCTGGAAGTCTGATAACAAGGTGGCTAATCTGCTATGCTGTTACAAACAGCTCAGCCCGTTCCTGGGACTGGGAGATGGTCAGCATTCCTGAGGCAAACTCCTGGAGTGGGTCAGGGTCTGGGCACAACAACCAAATCAAAGAGTATGGTGTTCTTGGTCTGCTTTTAAAAAATGTATTTTCTTTTTGCAGCACATCCTCCAGTTTCCCAGAGTCTGCAAGAAAACCTCTTATCTACAGTTGGCAACATGAATAATCATTATAAAACAAGTGTGGCTCTATTCTCATGTGCTCTCCCTCTATAAAAACCACAAGGACATAACCTCCAGGGCTGTCCTTGCTCACTGGAGCATGAAACATCACAAGGAGTGGTTCGGGGAGGTGGACAGAGCAAACCAGGAAACAGCCTAGGTGTTCCTGATCACAGCGACTCTGCTCAAGGCTAGCAGTGACCTCCGAATGACTGCAGCACGCTGACTTTTGGTAGATGCCTTATTCAGGTAGCATCTCTTCACCTCTACCCATTCCTCAAGTCTGTTCTGAGATCTCTTTGGCTTTCTTCTCTGTCGGTAGATGTCTCCAGGGATTCAGACTGGAGAGAGCCCTGTATCTTAGGGAAAACTTCGTAGCTAACGTTTTCCTTCCTCATTTCTCTAAGTGCCCATCAGCTGTGCCTTGGAGAAGACAGAATGGATAGAGTAGGACATGAGGAAGGTAATGAAATGACTTGGAAAGTAACTTCTCCTCCAGGCCTCAATATTTCTATCCTTGCAAAGGAAGAATTTGGCCAAAGAAGTTGGCAATTTAATATAGTTATGCTCTTTATGGATATTCATATATATCACTTGATCCTCTTAATATCCTATGAAGTTGATGCTTCTCAGGCTCACATTTCTAAGAGAGGCTGGAGCCAGAATTTGAGTATATACATTATATGTAGATACCAATGAGTACCTACATATGAGTCATAAAAATCATTGTGTACCTATAATTTATATAATGAGTCATATAATTTATAAAAATTTAAAAATTAATTTTAGATCTAGCTATTATTGTATATACTTATTCTTGCATTAAGGTATACATAATTTTTATGCCCCAGGACCAACAATTCCAGTTTGAATTCATTCCTTGTATTTGAGTGCATATAACTGGCCTAGAAGAAGAAACTTCATTAGGAAAAAGGAGGACTTCAGTGTGGGAGAAACTGGTCAGACCCTGGGAATCAAATGACTCACACTATAAAATGACATTTTCCTGATGATGCAGGACAGACCTGAGTTCACACCTGTGATTTCTGAATTCTTAAAAATTCTTATAGTCTGCATTCACTAGCATGAGTGTACAGTGGAGATGATCTATTTTAGGGTGATCCTTTTTGTAGATAACATGCCTGAGGTCAGCCGTTGGGAAAGCCCTGAGCCTAATTTCTCTCCCAAACTAGGTCGGGGTCTACACACTGGCTGCTGGTAAAGAAAAAAGAAAAAGTTATTTTACTTGTTTTCTTTCCTTCTTTAGACAAAAGGGCTCTCTCCAGTCTGAATCCCTGGAGACCAGGACAAGGTGAGATAGCCATGGCCACGTGTATGGAAATGGCACCACCTCAGCGTGCTGGGTTATCCCATATTTGGAAAGCCAACTGTGCAAGGGACTAGGAATTAACTCTCTTGAGCATTTTCACAGGCCTCATCCGAGCAGGACATTAAGTGAGATCAAATGGCTGTCTTTCCTTGTGTGCTCGTATTTTTCTTGGTCTCCTCCACTTGCGCACCTACTGTTTTTTCAGGTAAGCAAATGTGTAGGTCTTGGGAGAGAACTATCTGATTTTCTTTTAGTTGTAGAGATGAAAAAGAATACATGAATGGGTGGAAAATGTTTTTCTGAAACATTGGCCTTTGGTCTTGATAATGCAAATTGGTATCAATTGGGCATCATTATTAAAAACATCACTATCTGAAAACTAAGTAACATGCTTCTACATGATGCATGAGTCAAGAAAAATCAGAAGGGCAATTCAAAATTATTGTGAACATAGAGAAAATGAAACAAAATGAACAAAAGTTTAGGTCCAAACATACGTCATTGCCTCCATACCTTGTTCCTTTTACTTCAATCCCACCATCATCTGATATGTACCCGATCTCAATAGATTCTACTTTATCTTACTCGTATTTCTTTTTGCTCAAATAAACATATATATATGTACATTCTGTTATCCCTCCTACTTTCTTACATAAACAATGACATGCTATAGATAGGTACCAGTTGAGTTTGTTTGTTTGTTTGTTGCTTTTTGTTTAATATCCCACATGTGAGTGAAATCATAGTTTCTGTCCTTTCCTGTTTGACTTATTTTACTTAGCATAATACTCTCATTTGAAACATGTATTCTTGGATATTTTAAATATCATCTGATGGTGAGAGATGAGGAGCAGAACTACAATAGGTCTTATTTCATTCTCCCATATCTAGCTGGTCATCCACTCTCCCCAGGCAACAGAGCACCACTCACCCAAACCAATTCACTGAATCCCTCAGCCTCTCTAGGGTCAAGGAACTCATCATCAGTCACTGTCATCTTTAATTCTTGATAGGAACAAACCTAATACTTTATTTACTGAGTCATATTGAACTTTTAAAAAATATATACATTTTCCATAAAAATTATATATATATATATATTGGTTTCAGAGAGGAAGTGAGAGGTAGACAGATAGAAACATGAGTAAGAGAGAATCATCAATCGGCTCTTCTGGGATGGAGTCTGATGCTTGGACATGTGCCACAACTGGAACTGAATCTGTGGCCTCTTTGTTCCTGGGTCAGTGCTCAACTTCTGAGCCACACCCAGCCAAGCCATATTGAGCCGTATACTTATCCCAATTGTTGTGAAGATGAAACTAAAGCCAACAAAAGCCAAGTCACTTAATGAAAATAATGTGGTTGGCACATTATTTGTAAAATCCTGATAGGCTTTTACTCTTTTCTCAATAACACAGAAAATTTATAAATGAAGTCAGAACTGTGAAAATAAAAGAAATAATAAATAAATATATAAAGTTTTATATTTCTCACAAATTCTGTTTTATAATTTTATGCAAATGAGCAACTAAATTACACTTCTATATTCAGTTAGTAACTTGAATAAGCAAAATCATATTCTATGGAAAATTTTTTTAATCTATTGTGTCTTTATTTGCAGGACTGATACGACGGGACCCTGATAAATGGCCTCTAGTAAATTTAAATTTCTCAATTCTGAATTCTAATTCTAACCTGATCACTCTCTTGACACAAGAGCCCTAATAAACTTCATAGTGGTAAAGTAGAATGGAAAGATTTCTGTGTGACCTTGGAAATGTATCTTAACTTTTCCAGACTTAAATTTATATAAGCATGATAATAGGTAAATATACTTCTGAGCATTAAATGAAACCATACCTGTCAATTGTTCAAAGTCACAAGGCTAAACTGTGGTATATACAGGAATTATTTTGAGTCTCAATATAAACCCTAAAACTTTTTTTAAATTTTATTTTTCAATTAAAGTTGCTATTCAGTATTATTTTATATTAGTTTTAGGTGTATAGTATGGTGGTTATACAACCATATAAATTACATAAATGATCACCCTAAATTTTCAAGAACCCACCTGGCACTATGCATAGTTATTATAATATTACTAGAAGCCCAGTGCATGAAATTCATGCTGGGTGAGAAGGGGGAGGCATTTAACTCTGCCTGTACCCTTTCCAATCTGGGACATCCTCCCACAATCCAGGACTGCTGGCTACTAATCTCTTGCCTGCCTGCCTGCCTGTCTGCCTGATTAACCCTAACCACTTCTGCCTGCCAGCCTAACCACTCCCCTCCTGCCTGATTGACACATAAAGGTTCCCCTTCCATCTTGATTACCCACAACTGCCCTCCCCTGCTGGCCTGGTTGCCCTTAATTGCCCTCCCCTGCCAAACTGATTGCTTACAACTGCCTTCCCCTGCCAGTCATCTTGTGGTAGCCATCTTGTGATGGCATTGCATGAGGGCATGATATCTCCTGGCTTTTATTATATAGGATTGATGACTAGAGGCCCAATGCATGAAATTCATGCAAGGGGCTCAGCCCTCACAGCCACAGCGGCTTGCCTTGGCCCTTGTAGCCCCGGCTTTGTCTGGAAGGTCATCCTGTCTAATTAGCATATTATGCTTTTATTATTATAGATATTCCCTGTGATGTACTTTATATCTCCATGATTGTTTTGTACCACCAATCTGTACTTCTTAATTTCTTCACTTTTCACCCAGTCCCCCTCTCCGCTGGCAACCATCATCACTCTGTTCTCTGCATCTATAAGTCTGTTTCTGACAAGCCCTCACCCTGTCCTCTAATTCACATACTCCTTATAGTAAGTTTCTGACATTGGGAATCCTAGTTTAAATGAAAACTTTGCATTTGGGGTTGAAGTTGAGATGTTATAATGCTCATACTTGAAGAAATGGTGGGGTGAGCAAAGACACTGCTGTCAGAACAAACAAACAAAAACAAACAAAAAACCCTGAATAACCAAAGACCAGAGTAGAGAAAACCCTTATAAAAGATTAACCGACCAGTAATATTTGATGTTATTTCCATGTGGGGCAGTAGTGGCAGGATAGGAATAAATAGGAGAAATCTATCAATCATTATTTATATGATATTTTATATTATTTGCAGCCCCCATGTAAGATGTACATCCCAATGGATTACTTTTTTGAACCAGATGAACCCGAATGCCCTAATATAACTGTCCCTGTTTGTGCTACAAATGGCCACACTTTTCAGAATGAGTGTTTCTTTTGTCTTGCTCAATGGTAAGTTCAAGTTAAAATGTCATTTTTTTTTCTATATATATTTCATCACAGAAATGTCAAATAATCTTAGCCAAGGAACTGGATTTACTAATGCATGGGATTTTTTTTTCAATAGCCACTATTACTCACCAAAGATTACAGACAAACTACATATAGTGATTTCTTTTTTAAAAAATGTAATGAACATTCAATAAAATAAAAACTGCAAAAGAAATAGAATAGGCAGTTTACACAGGGCTCATTGCTTGAGAAAACACTTGTAACTGATAAAATGTACAATGTATTTAGGAAAACAAAGAGAAAATTGTGTTGAAAGGAATCCTAATATATAAAAAGCCAGGGGCCATCACAACTGAAACAACCAAATGGACAACCAAATAGTAGGCTGCGTGGGGCGACAAGGCTGGCAGGGGGATTAGTGAGGGATGACCAAACGACTGAATAGCAGGCTGCTTGGGGTGACCAGGCTGGCATAGGGGGCAGTTGGGGGTGACCAATACAATGGGGAGGGCAGTTGGGGGTGACCAGGTGGTAGCTTGGGAGCGACCAGGCTGGCAGGGGGGAAGTAAGGGGTAACCATACCAGTCAGAGGTGCAGTTAGGAGCAACCAGGCTGGCAGGCAGAGGTGGTTAAGGGTGATCAGGCTGGCAGGGGGGGAGGGAGGGCAGTTAGGGGCTATCAGGCAGATAGGCAGGTGAGCAGTTAGTGGTCCTAGATTATGAGAGGGATGTCTGACCGCTGGTTTAGTTAAATATGTATATATAAAAAGCCAGGGGCCATCACAACTGAAACAACCAAATGGACAACCAAACAGTAGGCTGCGTGGGGCCTAATCTCCTCAGGGGTTTGGAAAGGGTATAGGCTGGGCATAAATTTCGTGCACTGGGCCTCTAGTGTTATATAATGTTACATAATTATATCCAAATATATAATTTTTAGATAACAGTGACATATAAGGATGGAAAGTTAGGCAGAGGTTAACTTCTGGAAAATATAAATATTAGAGAATAGACTGTAGCTTTGGTCATGTAAACCTAGTGAGAATTTGAGCAGAGTGTGTAAAGTATGTGAATTGTGCATCACATTATTATAATTATTTTTTAACTTCCTGGTAGAAAAAAAAAATCTGGCATTGCTATGTTGAATGGAAATGTATCAGAATAGGAATGAGCTAGGGGTGAAAGATTCTCTGTTGAAAAATTTCACATAACACTTTGAATAATTTTGACATAGAGGAGGAATAGGCAAGCTGTGCTAGTGAGAAGAAGGAAGGGAGAAGAGATGGGAATAAAGGCAACTGTAAAAGCAGCTCCCTTTCTTGGGATGACATTTGAAAGATAAGAGAATGTGTAACAATGTCCACTTTCCTTGTGATGCTAATCTTCTTTTCTCTTCTCTTTAGGGAATTTGGTTATCATATTAAATTTGGTAACTATGGAAAATGTGGGAAAGGGTAACAGTATTCCATTCATTTGTTCTCTTCATTACTTAATTCTGAAAATAATTTCTCTTGGAATTTGAAGATGTATAATAAATAACATGCCTGTCTATGCTGCACCCAAATTTGTAATGAAATCGGAGGGGGGGAAGGGGGAAAATTAAGCTAATGGAGAACTAAATACTGCATTTATTGCAAATAAAGATTATAACAAAAAAAGTGATCAGTGTTCATCCCTGGGTGCTGATTGTTTAAAGTCAGCTTTCATTGTGTGTGGGCCTAAGACAGTGGTTCCCAACATAGGGCACATGCCTTACAGAGGGGAAATTTGATTTTTAAGGGAGAAAATTTGAGAATGAGTTATTAACAGTGAATTTTTTGCATTTTGTATGGTTCTCAGGGCCTGGTATACAGTATATAAATGTATATTGTGACATATGTATGCATTTCAGTTTTTATTATGTGTTTTGTAACTTTATTTGTTATTGGCTATTTTTATATCACTTGATATTATTATTATTATTTTTTAAATAATTTCTTAGTTATTTCTTCCTCAGTACTTCAACTGTTCTTTTATTCTTTTACTTTTCTCTTTCATGGATGCCAGATTCTTTAGAAGCTTGTTTAGACCAAGTTAATGGCCTTTTAGTCTTCCTCCATGAGAATAGGAGTTCACTTCTTAAATAGCAAGAATTATATGTCACATGGAGCATCACGATTTTAGAGATGCTTAGGTGGGGCATAGCCAAAAAAAAAAAAAAAAAAAAAAAAAAAAAAAAAAAAAAAAAAAAAAGGTTGGGAACCACTAATCTAAGATCTGTGATCAGGTGGGCTTACCTAACACTCTTACTGGTTTAAATTTATTGCAAACTGCAGGCTTATCTGCAAGGCCCAGCCCTACCCCACTCATCTCTCATCTCACTTAAACACCTGAGCAGAATAATCCCCCTCCTCACTCCCCCCTGCAACTCCCACTAACACATTCATACAGCTGTTTGGGACTTTCTACTTGATATTCATAAGTGAAGCCAGCCTGCATTAAGAGATAACTTTCCACTTGCTAATAAGAAGAGGGAGAAGGATAGCCCAGAAGTTGTTTTTTTCTTTTATCTTTTCTTTTTTTTTTTTTTTTTGGCGCGGGGGGGGGGGAGACAAGTTTTAGAGAGAGCTAGAAGGTATTGATATCATATCATGTGATTCCCCTGATTCCAGCATACCTAATTTTCACTCCATCTCATCGTTCCTATCCCATTGGTCAATAAATTCCTTTTTCTTTTTTGCTTAATCCAATTTATAATCTATCAGTTAAACTTAAAGGTCTTGATTAATACATGGAGATCGTGTTATTTTTACATTTCAGGCTGGGGAAATGAACAGTGAAAAACGGGCTTCGGTGTGCTCTGTGTCATTACCTAATGTTGCCACTAGATGTCAGTTTCTTCTTAGTTTGACAAGTTCTTGATTTAACCAGTTATCTTCCAGAGGGAGATCCTGTAACTACTTTTTGCATTACCTTTAGATAATCTATAGTTTACTTCAGCTGGCAACAGGGACCCCCCTCCTTTTACTGCTTCTGCCTTCTTTGGTTTTGTACAAATTTTTGTATATAGAGGCCCAGGCTTATCCTATTTTAAAGAGTCTGGGCCTCTGTGTTAATTGTCCAGGTGATTCTAGTGCACTACATTTTAAAACTATTTTCTCTTTCTTTTTCTATTTTATTACATTTATTGGGGAGACAATGGATAATAAAATTATATAGCTTTTAAGTGTGCAATTCATAATGCACCATCTACACTAATAAAAGAGAAAAATTGCTAATTGACTGTACCTTCGCTATGCCCACAGCCAATCAAAGTGAGTATGCAAATTAACCAAACAAGATGGAGGTTAATTTGCACATGCAGACTGGAGCAGTGTGAAGCCCACTATGAGGGGAACGGAGCAGTGGAGGGAGCTATTGGAATGGTGCTCCAAACAGAAGCGAGGACTTGCTGGTTCTGAGCAGCCTAGGAGTGGGGACATGCTGGCTCCCAGGCAGCTGGGAGTGAAGCCAAGGGCTTATTGCACGAATATTGTGCAATGAGCCTCTAGTCCTATATAATAAATAGCTAATATGCTAATTAGACTGGATGGCAGAATGACCTTCCAGAACAACCTTCTGGAATGAACCGTGGGTTGGTGGGGTGGGGAGCAGGGCCTAGAGATAGCCGGGCTGGTGAGGGCTGAGGCAGCGAGGGCCGTGAAGGCCTATTCATGAATGAATTTTGTGCAGCAGTCCTCTAGTCTCTATATAGTTGTGTATTCACTACCCAAAGTCAAGTTTTCTTCCTTCACTGTATATTTAAACCCTTTATCCTTTTCTACCTCTGTCTTTTCCCTTTGTATCTACATGTTTTTGTTTGTTCATTTGTTTTCAGTTTTATAACCACATGAGTGAAATCATGTTTGATTGTTTTTTTACTTTTTCGCTCTAACTTATTTTGCTTATATTGATATTCTCAAGATCCACTCATGTTGTTGCAGATATCAGTATTTCATCTTGTTTTATGGCTGAGAAGTATTTCATTGTGTATATGTACCACATCTTCTTTATCCAGTCATCACCAGTTGTTCCCATGTCTTGGCAGCTGTGAATAATACTGCAAATGAACATAGGGGTTCATTTCAAATAAATGTTCTCAAATTTCTTTGGATAACCAGAAGAGGGATTGCTGGATAAGTTCTATTCTTAATTTTTAAGGGAACCTCCAAACAATTTCCATGGTGGCTGTACCATTTTACATTCCCTTCAGTGTGGTGAAAACTATTTTCTAGACAGAGTCCCTCCATTCCTCAGCATGTCCTCAACAACTGGCAGAATTGAAAATGCAAGTAATGATGTTATTGAGGAAGTGACATTGGGAAGGTAACTTCTCTCTGGGCTAACTTTTTTATTTCTACAATGACAATTTTAACTCAGATAATAAAAATTATATAGCATTTATATAATTAGCATTGCTATGTATACTACTTTGTGTTTGTCAGTATATCAAACATGAGTAAAATGAGATCAATTAAACCCAAAATGCATTGATGGAGAACCTAATTCAGGTGACTACTGAATTGGCTTTCTGAATTGGATTGAAGACTCAGAGATAACCTAAACAATCCGTGACTTCTTCCACAGTATTCCTAATGGGATAGCATGTACCCAGATTTCCCACCAATAGGAAGTTCACTGCCTGATAAAGTATGAATAATGCTGTAGAGGTATGGTTATTAGGAAGCACTGCTTGCCTTGAATCAAAACTTACATTGATGTTGCTTTCAACCGTCAGAGCCTTTCATGACAGAATAGTTCACTCACAGCAGTTGAAGATGAATATTCTGTCTTCTAATCAATACATACTCAAATCACTTTTCTCCACTCATATACTTCAGTCATTTCTCATGTCCTATTTTTATTATTTCATTCTCTATGGTCTGGACATGCTACATTTAGGTAGTATGCATCTTAAAGTATTTAGGCATAACCTTAATGAATAAAAGCTTTTGATTAGCTGATAAATCCTTCTCAATTACATTTCGACACTACCAGGATTGGTGGATCCCTCACATTGATGACATGGTAGTAGCAGCTGCAGAGAAGTAGGTAGAGGTTCCCTGTCCGCTCTATTGGGTACATTTATCTTCTGGCCTTTTGCCCCCCTCTGCAAAGGGGCCCTAGTTCAGTCAGGCCATAGAATGGTTTCAAATTAAAGACAATTCTGAACCATTTGGGGGGGAAATTAGAAGAGGATGTGTTAAACGTTTCACAATCTGCTCTTCTTATTGAAGTGTACAATCACTCTAAAATGGTTGAATTACTTGAAGTTCCAGTTAAGTAAGCATTTATTTTATAATTCGCTGATGCAGAACAGATTATTTCTCCCATATGCTGGATGCATTCTATTTATGTTCCTCTACCTTTTGACTAAGGACTCCTTGTTCATTTAGTAATTATTTGTTGAGAGTTTCTACTCTGTGCAATGCACTGTGCTGGAGGCTGGTTTAAGCAAACAAGACAGGCTGGATCCTTTTCTTGTGGAACCTGCATTCTAGTGATGAGATATGAATAATAGACAGGGAGAGGAACAGGAAATGGCAGGGCGTAAGGAACGCTGTGATGACAATGCATAAAGTAACATAATAACAGTCAGATAATAAGAAGTAAGGCAAATAATAAAAGCTCAATAAATAGACACTAATTGAATATTTGAGACAATGAACTCCTAGACAAAGACTCTAATTAAAATCACCATAAGAAAAGCTTATAATAGAAAATAGTAAGAAAAGAGAAACATGGAGAAAAGGTAATTTAAAAAAGAAAAATAGGTGAAAATTTTAAATCCAATCTCATATAGAATTTAGTATAAACATTTATGGTAATCACAAAACACAGGCTAGAGCTTGTGTGATTTACAAGTTTTAAGGGAAAACGCCCATTTTAGATAAAAGTGAAATTGGAGAAAATTGAATCTCTAGGCTGGCTTCTCATCATTTGGGTATCTTTTCAAATATCTCATCTCCTCATAAAAATCTTCTCTGATTACTCAATCTAATTTGTCTCCTATCTCCATGTTATTCTCTAGCCATGATATATTTTCTTTTGAATACTTACCAACATATTAACTCATTTATTACATTATTTGATTATGTTTTCTTTTCATTCTACAAGAAAGTAAGTTCCAAGAAGTAGAGTCCTTTTCTGTCTTATTCATCTGTGGACCTGCAGTGAGGAAAACTGGGACAGAGAAGTGATGTGGTAGATTTGTGACTGTGTCTTACTGTTGCTAAGTGATGCTATGTTAATATGTCAGGGCAGGGAGGCATTACAGGGCTAAGGAAATATTAAAGAAGATGATTTGTCCAATCTAGAGAAAAAAAGACTTTCTGGGCTCTCTAGAGCTGTCTTTACATATCTAAAGAGATCTACTTAGAAAGAGAGAACAGATTTGTTCTACTGGGCTTCATTGTAGAGAACTAGAATGTCTGGAAGCC